GCTTGTTGGAGGGCGTGGTGCCCATCGTCGAAATCGACGGGGGAACTGTCGGATTTCATACGTGAAGTAGGCTGGGCGGGTTAATCGACCCAGAAGTGACTAAATTCATAGCTTTTGGCGTGTTTTCGAAGCTCAATCTGTGGAGCGTTGGCTGTACTAAAGCCTCCCCTGCTGTTGTGTGTTCGATTCCCACCGAGGCCGTGAATGTTCCACAATTGGATCAACTGAATTATTACAATTTGCCAACCCCTCTTTACAAGTAGAGATTTACGATTTTGGTACGTGCGTAATCGTGCGGTAAGGTTTAGGGTACGTTTAGGATAAAAATAACCATAACAGTTCAGCTTTAGAGCCACCGATTTTAAGTACGCGGGGCGTTCCTGTAGTCGTGCTTTCCCTAGAGGTGGTCGCGCGAGTAGTCCTATCCTTCGCGACACCTTTTTGCATACAATTAACTGACGCTACGACCTATGCCAACCAGTAGTATTGTCATACATAACTAAGGCATCCTTTTTCCAATCAACTTCTAGGATCTATCTACTTCAACGATTCACTGGGTTTGCTGTCTACTATAAATGCAAGTTGAATTTTCTTCGGTTTTCCAGCGAGACTGCTGTATGTGTGAAACAGAGGTAGGGGGTTCAATTGCTAACCTGGTTACTAGCCTCTAGGGAAATTTGAACTGGCCTCACTGGGAGGATAGTAATGAGATGCAGGCTGTGACAAGGGTAGAGCAGGCACATTCATTTAAAATGAATGGCGTAATTTTTGCTGCGGGGCAACCAACTGAAACCACTGTTATTTGACGGTCGCCTGTCTGGATTAACCTTGACTGCCATAAAGATTAACACTGGAGAGCGTAGGAATGCGTTCGTTTTTTGTGCAAAGAAGTGGAATAACGCCTAGATATTACAAGTTTATAGTGTCTCTAGTAATAGCTGCAAAACGTACTATCGGGTTAGGACTGGCAGCGTGCATCTACACGTTATAGTTAGGTGAACAGTTAGTGCATCACATTGTTGTCACCAGGTGACGAACAGCTTGCAGACAAATGACGGGATCATAGAAGCAAATCTTAAACAAACACAATAAACTGTGTGCGAAACTCAGGCCGACCTCTTTTATCCATCCGATCGTCTATGACAGGGGTCGGGAATCTATGGCTTGCGAGCCAGGTGTGGCTTTCAGATAGAATTGGAATTAGAAAGAGCAGGTTTTGTGATTTGCATGAAGCATAACCATACCAACTACTAACCAGACTACAAAGCCATCAGCAGATCCATGCAGCATCAGAAGTCGCATTACCGGTGAGAATTATAACAGCCTTACAGTACACGCCAGATTTCGTGCAACATGCCGAAATATGCGAAAGATTGATACTCTTTCGGTAATCGGCATTGAATCAGGTTTTGATACGGATTATCGCGTAGTCTATTCTGAAGTTACTTCTGTCATGATAGGATATCCGCTTTTTAATGAGCCTATTTCTGACCGCTAACAAAACATATATGCCGTTAAAAGTAACTACTTAAATAGTATGCGTATTTATCATTGATTTTGACTGCTTTTATAAATTCGAATAGATTTTATAGAAAAGATAAGCGCAAAAAATCATTTCTTGTACTCGTTTGGTAGCAAAATACGCCTTCTTTAAATTTTATACTTAAAGAAATGGTATCGTCCGGTTTTAAAAGAATTTTTAATAATGAGCTTTATTACGAGTGTAAGTATGAAATTAAAAAAGATGTAATTTTCTACCAAAAGAGTACAGTAAATAATTCTTTCGTGCATGGTTTCCATAAAATATATTCGAGTTTATGAATGCCGTCAAAATCAATGATAAAAACGCATACTGTTTACGTAGTTACTTTTTACAGTACATACGTTTTGTAAGTGGTCAGAATGAAGCTCGTTAAAAAGCTCGCATCCTATCATGACTGAAATAACTTCAGAATAGACTACAAGATAATAAGTATCACAACCTGACTCAATGCCGATTAGCGAGAGTATCAATATTTCGCATATGTCGGCATGTTGCACGAATTTCGGCGCTTACTGTATTTGAAAGAATAAATTTACAAGCCTATTACAATTACATTTGATTGAATCCAACCTTAAAATATATTATGTGGCTCTCATTGAACTAGATTTGAAAATAGATGCTTTCTTGGTTCTCTGAGTCAAAAACGTTCCAGATCTCTCGTCTTTAAAAACACCTGCTACGCTTCGCAGAACTTTATAGTTAACTATGCGCAATTTGTGCATTTGTCCGAGTGATAACTTGAGATTGACCCTGTCCTCGTACAGGAAACAGCTATGATGGCGGATGAATACGGGCGGTCAGGTCTCAGGCGAACGACCTGTATACGGAACTACAATCACCGCTGACTGAGTTGCAGTCGGCCTGTATATCGTGAGTCCTGACTGCATAGTCGTCTACTCAAACAGACGCAGCGCAATGAGTCATCATTCTGCAAAAACACCATCAATTCGAATTTTTGTGCAAACTCAGCTTCCTCCCATGATACGCGAATGGCAGGCTGACGGGGTTTCTCTTCCAACGAAATAACAAGTAGACCAAATTCCCAACTTCCCAACTTCCTGCCTAGAATCGTTCGTACTCGCAAACCTTCTTGCCAGTCTTTGATGCTGGAAGAGAGCGTGAAAGTAAAAAACGCGACGTTGTAGCAAGCACCTTTTCACAAGGCTTACTGGATAGATGTTCAGTTTACCTCCCAGAAATCGTTTAAATAATCTAATGTCATTGCAGCAAAGATCACATCATAGATAAAAAAAAGGAATATACTTACATACATTAGTTTATTTATTTTTAGTTCATTTTATTTTTGTGTACAGTTTAAGTGTTGTTTTAAGTCCATTTAATATGTTTGCTAGTTTCATTATAGCTTTCGATTTCTGCTTAGTTTACTTAACTTATTTTGTTCTAGATTACCTTGGCTTTTTTAGTTTAGTTAGTTTTAAGTTTACCTTTTTTGTTTGGTTTTAGATTAGGTACCTAAACCCGCTTGCTGTTCGAGTTAAATCTTCACTAGTTCACTTAATCTTGGTTTAGTTAATTTGGATTGTTTAACTTTTGTTATGTTTGAGTTCTGTTTTTAGTTTAGTTTTCAGTTCATTATTACGTTTTGCTATTTTTTTATTGTAGTTTTAGCTTACTTTTTAACAGAGTGAGTTTAGCTTACTGTAGTCAGCCTTTTGAACAGTCAATAAGGTCACTTTGTCTTTGACTTATAACAAAAGGTACTTTCACATTTTCAGTAGACCATCTTTCCAGTGATTTTCCCGTGGAAAATGCACTGTAAATGCGGAAGAATTTTTAATTTTATTTTTATTTTTTAAATTTAGTTCTAAGTTTAGTGTTATCATAGTACACTCAGTTCCAAATAGTTGTGAAGTTGCACATTTTAATTATGGCGCTCTTTTTGTTGAAGATCACATTATTTAGGTAACTATTTTCCGTTTTTTCTATGTTTATCAACTTTATTTTTTAGTTAGATTTCCTTTCTTCTGTATTGCCCATACTGTGTCACCGTAGTTACACCTGGTCTCGTATTACAGATGGATGGGGGTTTCCGTGTGTTGATCTGGGAGGTAAACTAAACACCTACCACGAACTGTCCTGAAACTACAATTGCAAACATCAATCATCGCTCACTGAGCTAGCGGCAAACACATCGACAGAGAGAGGGAGCAAATAAAAAGAATTTTAAAATAAACAAGTTGGCCTCTGGGCTGACAAGTTACAAGTAAACTAAGAAACGTGTCGGTTATAAAATCGGCTGCTCCATGTTTACACGAACAGCAAGTGAGGGCCAAAACGCAGGACCACTTAACCTAAGTCGTCATGCACACGGGGCAAACATTAGCATAAGAACAAACCAGCACTGTAAGCTCTTGCCCATCCAAGAAAGGCCGTGACATCTTAGAGGCCATTATTTCCAGTGACTCGCGATTAATCGACACATCGAATTAGATTTTATGTACAACAGTCTCTAGGAAGCATGAA